CAAATGTACATTTCAAAACATACATGGATATGAGTATATTCATTTAAGTTAGATCTACATATTTCATGAGCAGTTATTGAATATACATGTAAATTAAAAGTGTTTGTAGAATGGGGTCTTACGTTATTACCTTTTACAAATATATGAAGATTATGAAAAGTAATTGAATAAGAGATTAAAAACCTATTTAAGTCAATTTTAAAACTGTAGATATTAGGATTTTCTGCAGTGCAGTGTTATACATTTCAGCACTTCGAGCTTTTTAAGTCCTCAGCAATTTTGGCCGATTAAGGTAAAATGAGGACTGCAGCAACTGCAGCAAGTCAGGATGAAGGCCAGAAGTCACTGTCCATCCACCCTTAGGAGTAAACTCGCAACGCTGCTGAGACTTCTCATTTGAGAGCTTGCTGAAGATTCATGGGAAAAAGGAATGCAGTCTAACACCTGTGTTTCATTCAACTGTATTGGAGGTTATGAGAGGTAAGAATACATAAAGACATCAGACGTCTGATAAATATATGAAAAATTATTCTTATATTTTGTAAGTTTTAGTGTTGAGAGAAATTAGACAAGACTGTTTGCATCCTGATCTGTAATACAGAATAGAATGCCATAAAAGAGTCATTTTATTGAAAAATGTTGAAGAGTTGTTTTAAAACAAAAAATTCATCTCAGTTTGTATTTTCTTTATAGACTTCAGCATGTGGTGACTGAGTGTGAAGAATGGCAAAGGAAAGCTTGAATCATGGAAAAGATAAGTTATTCCAGATAACTTAGGAAGAAGAACAATAAAAATGACACACTCTTTCCTTGCAGACAGAAAGAATTTTGTGAAAATAATCAACCAGTGGTAAATTAACAGCTAATTGGTTTGTTGAATTGACTTTGAAACAATGGTTTTGTCTTTCTTTTTTTATTTGTTAATTCAACTGTGACAGTCACATTATTATGTAGATGTATGAAGAAAAATCAAGTTTTGGTACAATATTTTTTATCTTTTTATTTCATGTGAATTTAAGGCAAGGCATAACATTTTCAAATGTAAAATCTTTTTAGTCATTGAATTTTAAAGAACTTGTAAATAAATGATTTATAATTTGTATAATTTCATTTTTTTTTTAATTGTTAAGTTTGTAAAAGTCTGAAACAACAATAGCTGATACACTGTGATAGGCAGATTATGTAACCATTAATGCAAAATCCCTTTAACCATTAAGGCGGAATACGCCTTGCTAGTAAGGCAGAATACGCCTATCTTAAGTAAGGCGGAATATGCCTTGCTAGTAAGCGGAATACGCCTATCCTAAGTAAGGCGGAATACGCCTTGCCATTAATGTGGAATACGCCTTGCAGGTAAGGCGGAATATGCCTTGAAACTAATCCATATTAGGAAAGGCGGAATACGCCTTAACTCATTTAAATATTTCGAGCCCTATTCCGCCCTGATTCCACCCGGACTCCGTCTAATAGTCTTATTAAGTTCTTTATAGATAAAGGCGGATTCCGTCTTTTGATTTCCGCCTAAGGTCAGGGCGTAAATTTTCGTACAGGTGGTAAGAGAGTGTCCACAGTACGTTATATATACACGTACTAGTATATCCGATGCCTATGCATTCCCTTCTCGTCTCAATATAGCTTCTGTTCTGTTTCCAGATCGTCATCTTCGTTTTGATCCTAATGGTTTGTTTAGGAAATTTTTAAAGTCTTAGACTTATGTGTTCTCCTGTCAAGATTTATTATTCACCTAAAATTCTTAAATTGTGGATTGCAGGTTTCGTCAAGGTCTTTGATATTTTGGTGCTCTTGCACTCTTTCCAACTTACTATTCACTCTTTTCAGCTTTTGGATTCTTCTTGAAGCTCATGTTTAACGATACGCAACTTTCCTTCCTGATCCTGTTGATTGCTTCCCACGTCTCTAGCCTTTATCTCATTGAGCATTTTAAATTGCATTAAAACTTTTCACAGATTGAAACACGCTTCTTTAGTGTGTTCTTTAACTTTTCTTCATTTTCCATTAATTCCTGGAATACATGAGGCCTATTATACTGCAAGTAACTGTGTAACTGTGACCATGCTGTACTTCTTTATGCATCTTGTACTTCGGTTTCTTACGATGGCCGATAACGGTCGTCAATTTACACTAACGTTATGTGTGTAACATGTCCAGCATTTTCAATTAAAACTCACTGACACATTACACCTAAAACGAAAAGTGTACAAAGTGTACAGTGTCAAAGCAAATTCCATGTACACTCTACACCAACGTTTTACGTGTAAAATGTCAGTAAAACTTTCATGTACACTCTACACCTAAAGGTGATATCAAGATTCAAAACAGATCCAATGTTTCTTTATCGTGCTGCTCCCTCAAAGTGCCTCTTGATGTTCACATAAACCTGAAGTAATTTTTATTTATATTTTCGTTATAAGGAAATGGCTAAATAAATGCGTCTGTCCAGTAGAAGATATCAAACAGTTCATATAGTTCTGGAAGTGAAAAATCTTGTTTCTAGTAAATATGGATGAAAGGTTATAATACATTTCAAAATATATAAAGTGAATCATTTTCTTTTACTTAGCGGTAATATTTACAATCATTTTCACACAATGTGAAATGAAAACAAGAATTGTTTCATATTGTGTGAAAATTATCACTTTCCATTTTTTGACTGGAAAATTTAAATGCTGATGTACCTCTCCTACTGGCAGACTGATCCGTTTTCCAAGCTGTGTCCTAAATAGCATTTTCGATAGTTATTATCATGATCTGAATAAGTACCTGTAATTTAATTGATGACCATTTTAAACCTTTCATAAAATACTAATTTTGCTCTTTACTGATTATTTACCGAGGAACTTAATTTGCCAGCATTTCCTCAGGCCCCAAAACCATAAAATGAGAATAGACTTAAATTAAAATTTTGAATTTTTTTTTAAAAATATTGTTGCTTAAAAATTTGCAATTTTATATAACATTTAAACTGAAATATATGATGAAAATTTGGTTTCAATATCAAAATTATTTCAAAAGTTATATTAGTTTGAAATTTTGACTTAAATCTATTCGCAGTTTATGGTCTTGGTGCCAGATCTATGTGAACTTCAAGAGGCACCTTGCGGGAGCAACACAAAGAAACACGTCTGGTTCTGTGTTGAATCTTGATTTCACCTTTAGATGTAGAGTGTACCTGAAAGTTTTTCTGACACTTTACACACATAACTTTGGTGTAGAGTGTACACGGAATTTGCTTTGACACTGTACACTTTGTACACTTTTCCTTTTAGGTGTAATGTGTCAGTGAGTTTTCAGTGACAATGCTGTAGATGTTACACACATAACGTTAGTGTGAATTGTCGGCCGCTATCGGCCATCGTAGTTTCTAGTATGTGGTGCTAGCTGACGAGTTCCTCCTGTCCATTTTTTTTTTGTTCAGCTTTAACATCAGATACACCCTGAACTGGGTAGTGGTCTGAGTTTCACTTTCACCTTCTCAAGTTCACAGAACTAATCTATCAGTATATTTTATGCCCCCGTAATCAAAGAATCGGGAGCATATAGAGTTTGCTCTCTACGTCCGCCTGTCTGTCTGTTTGTCCGCAAAAACTTTAACTTTGCCCATATCTTTTGATTGGTTGGAGCTATGGCTTTCATATTTCACGTGCACTGGTATTCCTTGTGAGAAGACCTTTCCATTGGGTACTAACAATTGTGACCCTTTGACCTTGTCCTAGTTTTGAAAAACTTTAACCATGGTCATAATTTTAAAACGGTTAGTACTTGGGCTTTCAAATTCATATTTCACAGGTGTATTTCTTGCGACAAGACCTTCCCTTGGGTACTAACAATTTTGACCTTGACTTCGGAGTTTGACCTTCTTTAGAAATTTTAACTGGCCATAACTATTGAATGGTTGGTGCTAAGGCCTTTATATTTCACACGTATACTACTTGTGACGAGACCTTCCCTTTGGAACCATTGATTTTGACCTTAACCTTGGAGTTTGACCTACCTTTGAAAAACTTTAACCTTATTCATAACTTTTGAATGCTTGATGCTAGGTCATTCATATTTCACAGGTGTGTGCCTTGTGACGAGACCTTTCTTTGGGTATCATCATGTTTGATCTCTTGACCTTGGAAAATGACTTGCACTTGGGAAACTTTAACCTTCGACATGAGCATCATGCAGTGTTTCACAAACAGATCATTCTGTAACACATGCTATAGATACTGTAAACGTACTTTTTTCTATGGGTTCATATTATTTCTGTTCAATCCATGGGTATAAAATTACACGGATTTGTTGATTGCCATTTTATGTCTCAGATGCACTTTAAATTATACGCTGTGACAAATTTCCGCGGACACTATATGCATGAACATCGAGGTGCTATAGGTAGTATGAAGATTGATTAATTGTTTGTTGTTTAACGTCCCTCCCGAGAATTTTTCACTCATATGGAGACGCCACCACTTGCCGGTGGAGGGCTACAAATTTCGACCTATACTCGGCACTTAGGGCCACTAACCAGTGAGGGATCTTTTTCGTGCCAGCACCTACTGCGACACAGGACCTCGGTTTATACGGTCTCATCCGAAGGACCGGTCTCCACGTCCCGCAGTGGGATTCGAACCCGCGACGTAAGAAGAAAAAAACACCCAAACCAAGACCGTTGAAATGGAATATTTTATTGTTATATCATATTTACAATCCCACAAAGTACCGGTGATACTTGATGAAAGACGACAAATATATATAGGTATGGTAAATATAGTTTGTGTATATATACAGAGTAATGAACATGGAGTACCGATGTCTATAATACATCTACTCACTACAAATAATTGCACGACACTACCCATCCGTATGATAAAACAATGAGATCGATTCAATTGTTAAATTTCAAAAATATTGAACTGAAAACTTTAAATACACAAAAAAAAAAAAAAAAAAAAAAAAAAAAAAAAAAAAAAAAACTTACGTCTATAAGACAAAAATTTCCCATTTCCCCAACAAGCATCTAAGTTGTAATATGTCACAAAAAATCTTATAAATGTATTTCTATTAAAATAGATTCGATTACATTATAACAATAATATTTTAGAAGAAAGTACTAGTATATTTATTAAACAAAGAATTAAAGAGTTGTCAAAATTTATCTTATATAGTCTAATGATTTTTCTGTGAAAAAGGCCACATAAGTAAAATACAGATTATCTTTGTATATTGTCTCAAGATCCGTGCAAAAGGTCGTGTAATACGATTAATTAATTACTCTTTGTATGATCTGCTGTAAAAATACATGAGGCAATTCTATTTTTTCTATTCAGAAATTTTGTCGAGTCCGAAGAAGCCAATACTAAGTCTTGACCTGGAAAAAGGTGCCGTACGGTAAAAAGAAAAAAAAAAATCAAAATATAAACATCACATACACGGAACCTCTTTGGAGAGACACAAATTTCAATAAGCACGCATCATAGCACACATCATGTAAGTTAGTATATGATTATATATAAACTTTATATAATAAAGTATAAGGTGTAACCAACTATTAGGTCAAATAATCCATAAAAATTCAAAGCACTGCATCATCAACATTAAATAAAATACAACCTGAGATTTCATCTGACAAGAACTTGCACTGATTTCCAGCTGTGAGATGATAATTGTTATGTATTGATAAATTACAATGAATAATCAAAATCATATAACAAATTGAAAAATGCATGGAAAGAGAAGTTTGTAGATTATCAATAGCCACGAAAGAGAGAGAGAAAAAAGAGAGAGATAGGGGGTGTCACACAGGCAGAAAACATAATGATGATTACACATGACTTTCAGTACAACTGGGCACATTTATACACAAAGCAACATCTTCATTTATCTTCAAAGTGAAAGTATATTTTGCAAAGCTGATATTATACTGATGTCTTTACTCATTCAATAACTGGTCACATGAATTGACCAGAAATAGGAAAGACATTTTGGAATATGCAGCGGAATTAACTTCTATGTGTTATTGTACATCTGATAAACAGCAGCAAGAAGCACTGAAAAGTACACCTATGACGTCAATATGGCGTCAACATGCGCAATGTGACAATCAGGCATGTGACTTAGTCGACAAATCGAGAGCAGGCTTTCTTCCACTTGCACTGAGTACACCACTGGTCCCTATTTTCCATGCCGTATACCTTTCGACATTTCCGGACTTCGCTGCGGGGCTTCTTATGAAATCCACCCGTTTTTGGAGATACGGAGTAGAGATGTGATTTCGGAGACTGTGCTTGATGTTGATGTAACCGCTCTTGCGGTGTTGGTTTGGTCACTCGGATTGGAGGCGAAAGCTAAAAATGAATAATATTTAAAATATATTTTGACTACTAATTCACATGTTGTGAATTTCAATGTAATGGAATATGAAAATATCTAGCAGAATCACACAAATGTTCGATTATCCATGTATATACTAGTAAGCTAGGAACTCTCAATATAGTACTCACCGAGTGCATGGGAAATGATGAAGCATGCGCACTACTCTGCCAGGACATTGATCTCTTCATTTGGGGAGGGTTGGAAAAAGAGATTGGTGTTAATCCTTGATGAAAGAAACCGCCAGAGGGCACTGAGGAAGCCTGTGATTTAATGCTGTGGTCCTGGAAAGACGGAACGTTGGGAGTAGTTAGTAATTCATGATTTTGACATACTAGTAAATAGAGATAGAATCTGTTTAATTTACGACATAATAGAGACCTTTTTCTGATAGTCGTGGTCTGGTACAGGAATGGCGGGAGACAGGTGACCGTGGACTTCCGGTGGTGATGATGTGCACATCTGAGAGAATTTCTGGGTGACGTTATCCACATTGACCTCGATTTCCGTGTAATAAAACTCCTCCTCACCGTCCGATCGACTATCATCTGATTCATTGCAACTGTTAACAGAAAGATGAGCTTGTTGAATATTCTTTCCATTTTGTACATGGTCGTAGGAACAGGAGGGGGGGGGGGGCACGGGGGGGTGCCCCCCAATAATTTTGCCGATATATAGATTACTATAGAAAACAGAGCTACTATATGCTTGTGCCCCCTCAATAAAAACTTCTGATGACCTTTTTTTTTGCTTGTCAAGGAATTTTTGGTTGATAGTGCCCCCTCAACTGAAAATGTATGGTTGTGCCCCCCCCCCCAACTGAAATTGCTTCCTACGGGCCCGTTGTAAATTATCAAACCAACCAAACTCAACCAAAACGGTTGTCACTAATTTCAAGTAAATTAATAGCGAGCGCAGCGAGCGGCGCGAAGCGCCGCTCGTCACTGCGAGCTCTAACGACAACGCCTGGGCGAAGAGAAAATTCGGACTACTGCACATTCATTCAATAGAATTTTTTTCCGCAGTAATTCTGACCCACAATGCATCGCTTCTTGTTCTCGCTGCTAACTTCGTTCACGCGGTGACAACAACTAAAATTTCACACAAAATTAACTCACCTTAATTTAATGGATATTGCATGCAGATAGTAGATTAAACGTTCTTTGTTAAAATATTTGCACTTTTTAAACTTTGTTTATGGAAATGCAGCTAACATACGACGTCATGTGACGTCACAGTCTGTCTCGTGCGGTTTGAAGAGGCGGATCATAATAATGAAGTGAACACTGCGCTCGCCCCAACGGTCGCACCGTCAACATATTATACTTTTAAATTAAAAGTTTTAAAACGATCTCCAACTTATAAATCCTGCTTTCAGAATATTGTTAATCTGGCAAAATGTATCTATTTAATATTGCATTCTCATCGTTTTTAAAGTGTAATCACGTGGTATTTCTGAAGGTGTATCTCTATGTTTTTAAAATCTTACCCAAGGTGAGCTAACCGTACGTGCTTCTCAATACTAGAACACGTGTCTGTCACCTGGCCACATCCAGGAAACGTGCACTGGTACCTCAGTCGTCTGTTTGTCTGTAAGTAGTTAGGGTATGGCATTAAATTATAAAGAAAACTGTAGACATTTATATCTTGTTTGTATATGTATACATTGTTTCAAGGTATACATGTTTTACATACGTACAATCATCATTATGTGGTATAAATTTAATAATTGAATGACTACGGTACATTTTACTTTCATTTAATCAAGATCCCAGACAACAAATCCTCGTGTTATATATAACTTATGAATGAACAGGAATGCAACGTCACTCCAAACGGATTTCGGACTCACGAACCCGGATGAGTAAACCAAAAACGCCGGCCGGGTTATTATACCACGTGTATGTTGTAACACGTCTTAAGGGGGGTTCACCGATTTTAAGTACGTAATAAATATTAATTTCTGATATCGATAATGCAATGAGAATTATGCCATGAAGTTAGCCATGTTCGCGGCAAAGGCTTGCCTACATAATAATTAATGCCGTCACGTAAGGTTACACTGTGGGGGCTTCGCTATAGTCAGATTGCTCTGTATATAATACACCTGGACATTATACAGGGGATCTGTCATCTAAAAACAAGGCCGACCCGCGACCCCGAAATGTCAGCGCATGTACAGGCAGCCTTAAAATAAACCATGATGTTACTCAAATTAGCATGTTGTACTTGACGATAGGGATAATTAATTTTACCTTACAAATGAAAATATAAACATGACTGTTATATTTATATTTCCATTTAGTATATTTCAAATTTACATACATCGATAAGCCTAGAGCAATACATATATTATAATTAATGAAATAATTGGCTACATTAGTATTAGATATAAGATTCCCTAAATAATGCGACGTTAAAAAAATTATTCCCATTCCCTCTTCACATGATATAAATATTGTGGACAGTAACTGTCAGTTTTCTTTGTAAATATGACAAGTGAACGAGGAATTTCTTTACTGAGCCTCGAAGTTTCCCCCAAACAGTGGGGGCCCCATGACGTCCCACCAGTACAGAACTTAATAGGAATATTGATCAGAGAACGCCAAGAATTTTTGATTAAATGTTTATATTTACCAAAAATTTGGTTTTAAAAATTCATTCTCTTGTATATGTTGTTAAAACACTTCACGCATGACTAGTGACGAATGAATATACACCAAGGTATACCTGAGTGTTTATTAGGTCACTATATGCTGGGATAAAAATAGAACAGCTCATTGTGAAATCAGCTGATAGTTCCTAGATCTAGGTCAAATCTTACAGAGCAGCCCTTCTGGTCTTTGTTCGCTGCCTAACCACGGTGTTCAACAGTGATCAGGGTTATGTATAAATTTCGCCTTTAGCCGAATATGAAAACGGAGCATTGATTAATACTGATTTATAAAAAAAAAATGTCAAGGTGGGGGGATAACAGAATGAGGATCAATCCCGGGGTGGGGTGCGGTTTGTGCAGTGAAGAGTGTCACTGAGGCAGCCCTAACTTTAATGTATCCTATTCATATATGTCTTCAAATAATATATATACTATGCGAACTGCTTTTCGAACGTACTTTACATTGTATCGTAAAAAGTCCCTGCAGTATTTTAATTAATCCTGGGTAAAGTCATATTTTCCAAAGCTTTACGCATATATTTTATTAAATTTTATACATAAATGAATAAAATACGTATGAAACTCATATAAATATGTCTAATAATTTTTTTTACCAAAACCAGAGACAAATTCCGGGGGGGGGGGGGGGTTAACGTTTTAAACATTATATATGATAACTTTGTCATATATTCCATCCGAAAACCGGTGCCCTATAACAACACAATCCTAGAACTCAATGAGTCGTGGGTGTCCCTCCAGTTCCCGTGGGTCTAAGGGACGATTTCGTCTGTTCAATCCCAAGTTCTGTTGCATTTGTATATATTAACACAACTTTTGAATCTCTCTCTCATATATGCTGTACTATGGCCCCTGGGTGCCCTTTACCATATGTATAACCAGTGTAACCCTATATATATATATATATATACCTGTCGTTTTCGCTTATGCTCCACTGTGTCCACATCAATATTTTCTTCGTCAAAATCTATCTCAATTTCATCGTCTTTGTTGTAAGAGCCCACCGTGAAGCCACCAGAGGACTGAACAGGTGCGCTCTCGCTGAGATGTAAAGAGGGTGGGGAGGGGTCGCTCCGCTCAGAGTGGAATCCACTGCTGTTAGCACTGCTTGAGAGGGCACTGAATTTGAAACTATTATCTGAAAATTAGAAATACTTTGTAAATTGCTCTCTTGGAATTTCTCGGGTAGATCCCAGGGATTATTTTAGATGTCGGGACAATTGACTGCATAGGCGTGTGTCTGGGGGTCATCATTTGTAGACTTTTACCTGTAAGAGATCCCTGAAACTGTGGAGACGCTGGACTACATGAAAGACTGGTCAGCACCATCGCCGCAATCGTCTCGTCCATCATTTCCACGTCTCCACTTCTGACGTCATCTTCCTCTTGGTCTGATGACGACCGCCGGTATCGTCTGCAATTTAAAGAAGTGTACAGCTGCATGTCGGTTCTAAATTTTGATCCGATAAACGCCAAAGGCCTCTAATATATAAGAAGTCGCTAAATTAGTCCCCCGGAACGTTAATAAAAGTTGTGCTTTACCAGGGCAAGTCTAGAGAGGAGGAGTTGGGGTTCGGGGATCTGTGCTAATCGTGAAATATACATCCAGAATCCTTAAGAGGAAACACCACCGTGTTTAGGGGGGGGGGGGGGAAATCTAGGCACAAGGATTATAATTTTTTAAAGATATTTATACTTACAAAGCTGCTAGAAGAACTTTTCGTAAATTGTACCCAAGGACTCTGTGTCTTGTGCGTTTTCGTGACCAATTTTTTATTAAACGGTGAATTAATCTTGATTTGTATGACATTATTTTCGTTTCAAATAAACCTTATTTGGCTCAATAAGAATGAAAAAGAGATAACTAAATTAAGTTTGGTAAGCTTGGTTTTTGAAAGTACGTGATATTGCACAGTCACTTTGTAATTTTTTTTAACCTGTAGAGCATTGTCTATTTTTAGAAATAACGCAAGTCTTATGGAACAATTATTTAAAAGCCCTGTATGAAGCTGTCAATGACCAATATTCAATATCTTAAAAAAGCAGCAGCTAATGCCCTTTTCCCATACCTGAATGATGCAATTTTAGAATTAAAAAAAAAATAATCGGGTATCGATCGACTTTGAACTTTTGCTTTAAAAGTCGACCGTTGATTCGTTTTGAGGTATGCTTAAGTAGAGAGGTTAAGCACTACTGACCATCCCTAATCCATATCATGTGGCCTTGTTTACAAAATATTCTCGGACCGTAAACAATGTAATACTGAGTCGTAATAAACTGACAGCAGAGAAAACTGTTTTCTTGTTCGATTTTTGAAAAATAAAAATATATATCAGCATTTTAAATCAAATATAATTAATCATTTTTTTTTATAATTACTGTAACAAATTAAAATTAATTGATTTATGATTAGACGACCAATCGATAATATAATGGTCAAATAGAAACAAAATTAAGTCATTAGAAATTCTTCAACATATAACTTAAATATTTTTCTGGAGTACGTTAGAGTATACTCACTGAGCGCTGACATTGGGTACGTCGATTACGTGAGATACGGGTCGTTTTCTGGGCTCGTTCACGGAGATGTCCGCCAGCTTGGAATAATCCGTGTCTTGGTCCACAAGTCGTGCTGATTTCCGGCTTGGTAAAAGACGAATGTCATCCGGTCGAACCTCAAGATCCATCCCCTCTCCATTTTGAAGTCTGACGTTCACGATGACGTTGTCGCTGTCTGTATCGTGTTGAACGACTACCCCGGCAACCTCTCGTCCGTGCATAGTCAAAAACACTTTCTGGCCATGTTTCAAGCGGAAGGAATTGATCGAGTGAAACCCTTGTCCAATTATATGCCGTGAATATACACTTTTCTGAAATCCGTCATCGAATACAACAGTGTATTTCGCCTCTTCGGCGATGCTCGGCTCGCCCGAGTGGTCTGTAATTACCCCTGGATAAAATCTACCATCTTTCCACAGGGCACAGATTTTCGTACCAACAATAGACCTCTTTGCAAGTCGACGATTTCCAGACATCTTAGTTTATTTGGTTGTTCATATTTGGTATAATCATATCACAGTATAAAATTTAATCCTGTTTGTATGAATCTGCTAAAACGGTCGCTGAATAGGGCTGAGATGGGTCACAATATGCCGGTATTTTGCGCCGGTTTGTTTTGGTAGCTTTGAGAGGCGGAGCTTTCGCTCTGGTATCAACAAAACCTCGTGACATCTTTCTCCGCATTGATTGGTAGATTTTAGCACACCTCCAGGATTTCGTTAGCTGGCTAAAAAAATATCCAAGGTGAAGGTTATCGAAAGAATTTCAGCAACATAAATAAACCTTATCATTTAGCTAGGTGTGTTTGAGTGTGAATATTGCATTTCCCAGTGACAAATACTATCAAAATAAACCATTTCAAACATAAGATTTTGTAAACTTTGGTCAATATAAGCTAGGGGCTGTGTTGCATTCTCAACAGGGAACTGTCAATCATTTTCGCCGCTTCGTGTTGATTTCCTTCCAATAAGTAATTTCACCCCCTCTAAGGGAAATAAAATATTGACAATTTGTTTCATAAAGTAGCTCATGCGAGGCTATTTCATGACTGTAATTTGATTCCATTAGTGATAAAATATCAAAAGAAATTACAAAGGCACGGTTCACGCCTTTCCATTTTGTCGATATCACGTGCATTGCTTGATGTTTTTGAGGGAGATGGAAGGAACAGCTTTGTTTATCTACTTCAAGGGAAAAATCGGTCAACCACGTGACAACTGTCAAAAATCTGTAAGCATATCCCACAGTGCAGTGCGAACAATGTCGACGTACGATGTGGAGGAAACAAACGATTTACACGATTGTTAAATTTATTTTTCTCTTGCATATTGTGTATTATTTGGACAGAAGTGTAATTGCATCTACAGTTGATTACGTCGGTACAAGCAAATTCATTTCTAATCACTGTCGCCAGTAACGACTTGGAATGTTTTGATGAGCTTTATTTTAAACATTAAACTAGTGCTAGCAAACAGATATTTCGAATTTCCTCTACAAGTATCCAAATCTCCCTTTTACCATTTGTTTACATTACAGATTATATCTTGTGCAGAAATTGTGGACATGAGGTCGTGCACCCATCTCATTTAATTCAGATACCTAGCAAGTTAGCGCACAGACAGAGAAACGACACAATTGGGGGCCAGAATGGAACTCTCATACAGTTGTTCAAAAACCCAGATGGTATGCAGTTCCTCATAACTTTCAGTTTAGTCTATTGATTCTGGCATCAGTCAAAACAGTTGTGTAGTGCAGACATCATTCTAGTAAAGGAGTGCTTCACATGGTTCCCCCACCCAACCCAACCCCCTTATAAAAAAAAGGATGAATAAAACTTTGTAACATCTACATTAAGATTTCAAAAGTATCAGGGTTATGCATTTTAAACCAAGTTCAAATCATATGTAATAATACAACCCATTAAAACTTAAAACAGATAAATATGATTTTTATTTTTTTGGTTGAAGAAAAAAATTGCCCCTCTTCCCTTCCAGATCAGCCCCTTCCATGGACTATAGTAAGGGCAATATTAAGATTGAACTACATGATAACAATTCATGTAGAGGTTGAATTAAGATTTTTATCTATTAGCCAAAATCAACTCAATTCATTTAAAATTAATTTAAAATTATCCATCATTTCATATTGAGACATTATGGACTTTGGATCCCAGATGGGCAGGGTAAGATGCAAGACCAATTCTAATCAATAGAAATATAGACTTCAAACTTAAACACACTAGCAATGAAAGGTTCAAAGCATCCTAATTTTGACAAGGATATACTGTAACAGCTAGTCATTGTGATATGAATTGCCATTATGAATGGATAGGAAACCCTTGCCTTGTGGCTATGTTAGAAAAATACCTAGTCATCTGCATTTTATTTGCTATACAGATAAAAATTCTTAACAAACCTTATCTTCTTGTGAACAAACTGTGCATCAACTAAAATTCATTAATAATTAAATTGCCATTTTGGGCATAAAAATAGTCTATCTTTTGATACACCCCAGTGTGGATTATTCTTCTCTGTTTTGTTTTTTTTTTGTTTTTGTTTTTGTTGCCTTCTACATGTATTTTGTTATGATTATATTCTCACCATTTTCACTCCCCTTTTGATTTACAGGTGTATATTTTGAAGTAATCACAACTGTTAAAGCAAATGTTACAGAAACTTCTCAGGTAAGAGACAGGATCACAAGTAAGACTAGCAGTGAATTGATTTTAAGTACTTTCAAACTGAGTCCCTCCCAGGGGAGTGAAACCCTAGACCAGGGTACACGAATTTCACAATTTTGATGGAGAGAACATTTATCATCATCAACATGCATATAGTTTAATCTGCTAGATGCCCAAAAGTATAGAAGAGATCACTTATAAACATTGATTTCATTTTGGAAATCGGGGTGAATTTTTTAGGCAAGATTTTAGTGAGTAGATATAAACGTTTTATTTAAAGACTAAATTCAATTTTTCAATTTGTTTTAAGTATTTAGAGCAAAGTTCTGATTATTGAAAGGTGTATGAAATTTTTCTGCAGAAAAATTCTCTTGGCAAAAATTATTTTTGTTAAAAAAAAAATGTAAGGATGTCTTGGTATTTGAACCCAAGCAATAAAAATCCCGACAATCTGTCTTTACACTCCTAGATTCCAATATGTAAACCACCATACAAGACAGATCATTAGCATTTAAATCTTTTTTTTGATAAGACCCTTGAATAACTGGACTTCAAATATTTCTCCGAAAGATACAAATTTTGTGTCATTAAGTTTTTTTTAAGATAGAGTAAGTCCTTGCTCCATGTTAAGCAAAAAATTAAAATTTTTAAACATACTTTGAAGATATACTTTCCAAAAAATAAAAAAAATGGAGCAAAGACCAACTTGTATAAGAAATTCTGCTTTAGTGTAAAGAAATAATTATTTTTGCCATATTAATAGATGTATATGCCTGCTGTTTCATAGACAAATAATATTAACTGTTGTAAGATTGTTGCCAAGTTTGGAGATTTTACATAAAGTATATATTAATGTTAACTGAAATATCAAAGAAAATAGAGTATTAATTGAGATTTAATTTTCACTTTCTTGTTTGTCGAACCATTGGCAGACATTTTTCTCAGCTTGTTCGCCCATCTTTAATGAAAATAAAACACACTTCAAATCATCAGCTGATTAGTAAAGAGCACTAATTAACTATTGGAAGGTAAAAGCTAGTTTCTGTTTTATTCTAAGATTGGTCTGTAAAATATCTTTAGTTACAGATTTGTCAAGAAACATGTATGACCATTAACAAGAAGTGATCAGATAATATAGTGTTTATTTTCAGTCTTCAGACCTGATGACCTGGTTTCCGGGATACTTATGGACAATTTGTGTCTGCCCTATGTGCTTCAAACATTTAGGATGGTAAAGACATATTTTATAAATAAATGTTATATAAAGTTGAAGTTTGGTATCTCGAACATCGATATTTCAAATGCCATTGATATGTCCAAGTGATTTGGAAGTCCCAACCCCTTGTTCTTTAAGTATTTTACCCTGTGATTCTCGATTTAACTGAAATTTTACCATGTGAATCTTGGTTTGACTGAATCACCTTCTACATGTTTTCTGCTCTGAATTAGTCACATTACCAATCTCTCTCTCTATATATGTGTGTGTTCAAAAGACTTGTCAGATTAAAAATAAATATGCAAAGATAAAATATTCTGAATTTAGATGGAGGACTACCTAAGAGTTTATGAATACTAAGTATAGCAAGAGATACAGACCTACTATGATAATTATAACAATAGCAAATAAGATGTAATTATTAGTACATGTACCTACACGTAGGACTCATAATAATACGTTAATTGCAAGAACTTCATGTAAAAATAATTTTCTGACTCTGAGTCTGTCTTGACTTAGTGCACAAATCTGATTATTTCATTTCAGGAAATATGAAACAACTACAGAAAACAGACCTCGGTCATTTTTTGGAATCATTTTGGCCAATGTTTTACAACAATCAGGTAACTTACTAACTATCAGCTAATTAAATACTTTTATAAAAGATTAATTCCAGTTTTAGAAACATCAAGTCGATATGCATTTCAGAATCTTTAAATGGAAACACAAGTCTATATGTTGTTACATTCTTGATCATGTGATCAAGTTTTGAGCCAATAAAAAGAGAAAAATAATACGATGAATTTTTTGGACAAAATTTATATACAGAAGATACATAAAGGAAATTCAACTCCTATGTAAATTTTTTTTTTAAAGTTTCAATTTCTGTTTGTGGAAGAAGAGTTGAACAATTTATGTCAAACAGTTTTGCATTTTTATTATTTTTATAGAACAAATCCTACATTTTTTTTCAGAAGCAGAATCAATCATACATATACCAAAGGCCTATGCAAGCTGACAGAAAACCATCACTGCAATTTTTGTCTCATTTTGAATTTGACTTTTGTTGCAAGTTATTGCTATAAATATTATAATGTTCAATTTATTGTATTGTACCTCAGAATTTGCCCTATAAAGTATCTTGATTATGGAGATAATAAATCTTGTGAAAATTATGTCCTATTCAAGCCTGTATTGATGGAGGAAATGAAAGCATGCATTCATACAATGCATTTTTCTATGAAAATTGTACATGAATATAGAGATAACAAACAGTATTCAAGCTCGAAGTCCATTAAAACAATACAGATTTGGAGCAGAGCAAACATGGACCTCCAAAAACATCAGAGGTGGGATCAGGTGCCATGGAGGAGTGAGCATCCCCTTTGACCGGTCACACCCGCCATGTGGTCCTTGTCATGATTGGGGAAAAAACGGAAAAATCCTTAGACATTGCAGTGTGTAAATAATGGCCTAACAATTAGTATGAATAATGTCAGTCAACATTTGACTTAATGATGGGTTGTACTTGCTGACAAGATCATTGTATTGACCATAAAACTTGCAAAATGATGACTTCAAACGAGATTGTTGATATCCCTGTTTCATCAACTTGTTTGTCAATAGCTTGCCTCTGAAATTGTTCATACATAGAGCATGCTCTTGCATATTGAATCAACTGGGAGACAAAAACCCCATATGCAGGTGATAAGAGTATATTGCTACATAAGTAAGGGAAGTTGACAATTGAAAAATTGAAGTCATCACATTTATCATACACTATACATATATGGAATTATTTTCCTAACTTTTTTTTTAAAATGTGGAGAAAAATTGACTATTTTGTTTCCAGGTGAATTATGGGTGTAGCAGTCTCATGAAAATAAACTTGTTATGTGCTTGGAAATGTTCACCTTTTAATGTTGCTGGTTTCATGAATGGGTGGCAATTTGGACTATATGGACCACAGAGATCAGCCTGGGAAGCGGAGTGGTTAGAGCACCTGACTAGTAATACAGGGGTCCAGGGCTTGGATCGCAGTCCAGCCATAAGTTTTCTTTATGTATTTTTGAATTTTCAATACATGTTCATTATCCCCTTGCAACGGAGTTGGAGGGGATATGGTAAATAATGCAATAGTGTGTGTATGTTTGTGGGTGGGTTAGTTTGTCCTGTGCAAAACGGAAGTGATGTAATTTGCACCGGGATCAAATTTTGCCTTTTTGATTTATTCATGTATTGTTTGATCTTCTCATATTCAAATCACATAAATAATTTAAAAAATAAATGAGGGGATAATAAAATATAACATGTAAATTATAATTGAGTTGTGTGGTTTGAATTTTTGTTATCGGTGAAGTCGTCAATACAGGTTTACCTATGCATGATTATGGTCGGTATTTTTTAAGCATGTTAGCATTTACTTCTTGTCCAATCACTATTTATTTAGCTACATACATGTAGCTTGCCTACGTGCATTGAAATTGCCAATTACGGGTTGTTTCAGTTCCGATTCATTTGTATACATGTATTTTATGCCATATTGTTTATACTGAAGCACAGAAAAATTAATAAACACACAAGTCAAGAATTGATTTTTCTGACTGTAATAAGTAACAGAATTTCGAAAATCAACATTAACATTTTTGTTCACTGCAGCAAGGCAAAAGTTGTAGTTAAACAATAATAGCTGCAAAAAATGGCACTTGCATTCAATTATAACTCTGAAATCATCTGCAAATTATCCCCTCACAGCAAAGTTGAAGAGGATATAGTAACTCTTGTGTGTGTGAAGGGTGGGGGGTGGGGTTGGGGGTGAGTGGGTGCGTAGCAAAGGCTAAGCAAGTAATAATACATATCAGGATTGATATGCTCTTTTGCAAGGGGATGCTCCACTTTTATGCTCTTTTGCGAGGGGATGCTTCGCTTTGCAGTCCCCTTGTTCATTGCTACTTTCCATATTACAAATGAGACAATTTAAAATGGAGTTGATTTAAAAAGACTTGTACTTCTGAAGTACACATAGCTAAACATATCTGGTTGAATGTGAAAATAAGAAAAATAATTTTTAAAGCAGTTAGGTGATTATTGTTGTTGGGTGGAAATTGCCCATCATACGGTAGATAATACATCACAGAGACAACCTAGCTCTTATTTCTATGGGGTTTATTGCATAACAAGTTCAAAACATATAGAAATAAAACTTTGTGCTAGAATATGTAATACTCTGTGCATAACAAGACATTAATATACTAGTATAATATTGATTTAGTAAAAAAAACACATATTGCACTCAGCCCTGGTTCTCTCAACATACAATATACATCAGTTAGTAGTAAATGTCCATCAGAGATTTAACAGTGATTGACAGGTCCAATGTCTTTAAGTCCACTAACTCCCATGCAAAGTACTGAAGATGCTTGACTGAGTGCACCATGAGGAAACCGTTGTCAGAGAAACGACCTTGAACTCCAGGTGTGTCCAGCCAGACAAATGGAGCGATGGCGGACGTGCTGAGGGTGATGTTGTAAACTTGGTCTTTCTTCACTATGACTATGTTTGTTACCTGATAAGGAAGAAAAAAAAAATAAGGAAGAACAACCCTCTTTCTAGGATAGAAGATGGGGATTAAAAGGAAATTAAAACAAATTCAAGGCATGTGTATGTATATCATATAGAGGACAAAAATTGAGTTTAAGGTATTTGATCTGTAATTTAATAGTCAATCCATAAATAGCAAAAAAAAAAAAAAAAAAAAAAAAAAAAAAAAAAAAAAAGAAAGAAAAGAAAATTATCTTATTAACAGAGAGTCAAACCAAGGAAATTTGCAAAATTTTATTACATTTTCAACAGTGAAATAGTGTAATTTAAGGTAGTATGGGATACCTCCACGTTATGACGTATTTCCGTTTGAAGTATTGTTTTGATTTGCATGAGTGCTTATTATCGGGTCAAAATTTGTAGATACACCGTTGAAAAGAACACTCTGAAGCCTATTTCAATGCAAGTTCTCACAAGTCGGCATTTTAAGTAAAAACAGACAAAAAAATCACAAGTATATAAATTCACTTATAATTGTACAACGGACATTTAAAAAAGCAAACCCCTGTAAAAGGTAGTTTCAACATTGCTGCTTTTGAACACTTTTAAGCAAAAGCTGCATTTCAATTGTTTGAGTAACTGTACAGCACCTTGTGTGCGGTGAGGCATGGATAAGTGCAATTACTTCACATTGTGCTGAATTATCACCAATCAATTATCACGTTAACCAGAGCTGGACTTTTTTGTTATTTAATTCAAGAAGTAACTGTTTGGTCACAAATCAGCTAGCTGTTGTATATAGTCCCAAAACGTTCAGATGAATGCAATTGCTCTGAACAAGACACGTCCTGGAAAGCGATTGTCCATGCATTGTTTTCAAAACCGCTCAAAGTTGAAAACTACAAAGTGCGATTTTTTTTATGGTTGGGAAAAAATGCTCATCATTTCTAAAATAGCACCCAGGTTTTTTCAACCCTTGGAAAATAAAGAAGGATAACTCTTCCGCTCGGATCTTTCAATTCAAAAAATTTTAAATGCATTTTATATTTTCCATTTATATATATATTTTCAATTTGTTTATTTCACTTTGCTAACATATTAAGATACATTCTTATTGTAGACTTTCATGAAATGTTATCCGTCTGTTTTCAAGAAATAAAGTTTTCCCAGTTTTTTACGCTTATTTTTTGTTGAAAATTAAAAAAATACTAGGACATATTTCTTGTCATTTTTGTTTTTATAAACACTTTATATTAACAAACGCCTGCCTATAATATTAAGCTTATGAAAAAAGAATTATGCAAGAAAAAAAAATCGTTTTTGTATTTCTCATTAAAGTAATAAAAAAATTATTAAAATTACACTTTAATATACTGAAAGGTGGGGGTATTTCAAATCCTTCTAATTTGGGTACATAAATATGTAGGAGAAGTTTCGTTTGGTATCCCATACCACCTTAATAAAAGTGCTATTCTGACACAGTGTGAACGGATATCAAAATGGTATTCTCACAATGTTAGAATATCAGAAGTGCAGCAAAACTCGAGATTTTCCTTCCCTTCATGAATAGTGTTTTACAAAAACTCCTTGGCCTGTTATTGTTTTAAGATAGAGAGAGTAAAGGAACCATCCTAACAGAGACCACTTGTACTACCAAAGTTTCTCCAAATATGTTGTTAAAAATCCAACGTTTTCTATTCTCGCAATCGCTTAGCTATGATGTCTCAACCACTCTACTATGATGTGTTATGAAAAGACGGGGGCAAAGGAAAAATCAAAGAAATTGTAATAAACAGAAAATTAAATGGATATGGAATTTATGCTTTGTTTGTGCTTTGCACTCATGAAAATATAAAGAAAAAAATCCTGTCCCACTAGTGAAATAAATTCCATATTCAACTACAAAACATTGATATCCTCTGTTTATAATTTGTTAAATGTATAGATAACCATGCACATTTGAAGGAAGTTGATTTTATTTTACAAAATTTTCAGGGGGAGATAATTCTAATTATTAATATTGCATGTCTATACACTAAATTTAGTTCATGTTGTTTCTTCTTATAATCTTTTTAACTCATCTTAAAAGCATTATTTTGAATATATAATGAAAATAGCAAATATCCCTCTTTTATACATCGAATATCTTGAATAAGGTTTAAAAACGCACTGACTTATTTATCATTTTAGGTTTTCTCAAAACTGCTCAATTGTTATTAAGAATGTTATAAAAAGAAAGCTTATGTATGAGGACCTGGGTAAAGATATGTTGAGATGTGATAGTCCTGTCTTGTATGTGGTATAGATATGTTGAGATGTGATAGTCCTGTCTTGTATGTGGTATAGATATGTTGAGATGTGATAGTCCTGTCTTGTATGTGGTTCAGATATGTTGAGATGTGATAGTCCTGTCTTGTATGTGGTTCAGATATGTCGAGATGTGATAATCTGGTTTTGTATGTGGTATAGATATGTTGAGATGTGATAGTCCTGTCTTGTATGTGGTTCAGATATGTTGGGATGTGATAGTCTGATTTTGTATGTGGTACAGATATGTTGAGATGTGATAGTCCTGTCTTGTATGTGGTATAGATATGTTGGGATGTGATAGTCCTGTCTTGTATGTGGTACAGATATGTTGAGATGTGATAGTCCTGTCTTGTATGTGGTATAGATATGTTGAGATGTGATAGTCCTGTCTTGTATGTGGTTCAGATATGTTGAGATGTGATAGTCCTGTCTTGTATGTGGTTCAGATATGTCGAGATGTGATAATCTGGTTTTGTATGTGGTATAGATATGTTGAGATGTGATAGTCCTGTCTTGTATGTGGTTCAGATATGTTGGGATGTGATAGTCTGATTTTGTATGTGGTACAGATATGTTGAGATGTGATAGTCCTGTCTTGTATGTGGTATAGATATGTTGGGATGTGATAGTCCTGTCTTGTATGTGGTACAGATATGTTGAGATGTGATAGTCCTGTCTTGTATGTGGTATAGATATGTTGAGATGTGATAGTCCTGTCTTGTATGTGGTTCAGATATGTTGAGATGTGATAGTCTTGTCTTGTATGTGGTATAGATATGTTGAAATGTGATAGTCCTGTCTTGTATGTGGTTCAGATATGTTAAGAGGTGATAGTTGTGTCTTGTATGTGGTTCAGATATGTTGAGATGTGATAGTCCTGTCTTGTATGTGGTTCAGATACATTGAGATGTGATAGTCCTGTCTTGTATGTGGTTCAGATATGTTGAGATGTGATAATCTGGTTTTGTATGTGGTGAAGATATGTTGAGATGTGATAATCCGGTTTTGTATGTGGTACCGATATGTTGAGATGTGATAGTCCTGTCTTGTATGTAGTACAGATATGTTGAGATGTGATAGTCCTGTCTTGTATGTGGTATAGATATGTTGAGATGTGATAGTCCTGTCTTGTATGTAGTACAGATATGTTGAGATGTGATAGTCCTGTCTTGTATGTGGTTCAGATATGTTAAGAGGTGATAGTTGTGTCTTGTATGTGGTATAGATATGTTGAAATGTGATAGTCCTGTCTTGTATGTGGTTCAGATATGTTAAGAGGTGATAGTTGTGTCTTGTATGTGGTTCAGATATGTTGAGATGTGATAGTCCTGTCTTGTATGTGGTTCAGATACATTGAGATGTGATAGTCTGGTTTTGTATGTGGTATAGATATGTTGAGATGTGATAGTCTGGTTTTGTATGTGGTACAGATATGTTGAGATGTGATAGTCCTGTCTTGTATGTAGTACAGATATGTTGAGATGTGATAGTCCTGTCTTGTATGTAGTACAGAAATGTTGAGATGTGATAGTCCTGTCTTGTATGTGGTATAGATATGTTGAAATGTTGAGATGTGATAGTCCTGTCTTGTATGTGGTTCAGATATGTTAAGATGTGATAGTCGTGTCTTGTATGTGGTTCAGATATGTTGAGATGTGATAGTCTGGTTTTGTATGTTTTACAGATATGTTGAGATGTGATAGTCTGGTTTTGTATGTGGTATAGATATGTTGAGATGTGATAGTCCGGTTTTGTATGTGGTATAGATATGTTGAGATGTGATAGTCTGGTTTTGTATGTGGTATAGATATGTTGAGGTGTGATAGTCCGGTTTTGTATGTGGTTCAGATATGTTGAGATGTGATAGTCTGGTTTTGTATGTGGTATAGATATGTTGAGATGTGATAGTCCTGTCTTGTATGTAGTACAGATATGTTGAGTTGTGATAGTCCTGTCTTGTATGTGGTACAGATATGTTGAGATGTGATAGTCCTGTCTTGTATGTGGTATAGATATGTTGAGATGTGATAGTCCTGTCTTGTATGTGGTACAGATATGTTGACATGTGATAGTCCAGTTTTGTATGTGGTATAGATATGTTGGGATGTGATAGTCCTGTCTTGTATGTGGTACAGATATGTTGAGATGTGATAGTCCTGTCTTGTATGTGGTACAGATATGTTGAGATGTGATAGTCCTGTCTTGTATGTGGTACAGATATGTTGAGATGTGATAGTCCTGTCTTGAGATTTATCACAATAACAACAACCCTTTTATTGAGTCCAGGAAAATTGATAAACAAGTAGAAATTTAATGTAGGGTACAAATCTAATTGAAGAATACATGATAAATTTTTTATGTATTTCTATAATCTCCAGATAATCCTGGGTCCCCATCCAGCTCTCTCCAAGAATGGGAGAGGATAATAGATTATGGTCGCGTATTGGATTCAAGGTATGTAAAATTATACATGTACCTGTATATTAGCTTTCTGTACTCCTATCGCACTCTGGAAGATTGAGAGAGTTTGCCAGGCAGTGGGGCCATTTTGTGGGTTGCCAAGGTGATAGTACAGGAAGCAGTTCTGTCGTCTGATACAGCTGGCCTGTTGTAACATATTGTTTATGTTGGCAGAAAACACGAGCTGGGATGTCAAATTCATCTGGAATAAGATGAAGACTTTGGATATTGAAACAATAAAAAAAAAGACTTTCATTATTACTACTACGGTTGAACAATAAACTGCTGTTTCTGAATTTTTCTTTCTGACATACATATAGCCTTGGGTTTTTTAATTTTTTTTGATTCCTTACAATTGGATACATTGGAGAAAGCTAGGAGATTGTAATTTTAAAACATTTATTTTAGGTAATTTCATTTGAAATGCAAGGTTTAGTAAAGCAACTAGTGTACATTATACACACATCTAGAATTACATACTTCTTTTGGGTCTTGACATACATGTACCTTCTCTTCAAGATGCATCAAATAACCAAGTTTAATGATCTTGGTCTCACAATGTGTAAGAAATCCTGATATGATTTGAGTATGAATTGCCAAAAGAAGGTCAAGTTGACCTACATTTGGGTCACAGCACATCTTCCCCTAAAGATGCATCAACTGACAGTGTTTGATGGTCCTCTGTTTCATTGTGTGAAACAAATGACCTGGACAAACAAAACTAAATATTTACATTTGCTACGTTTTTCTACTAAGCCAACTGTGCAATTGATTTGATAGTCATTTTTGTGTATACTCACGCGTAGAAATATACACGGTGAAACTCGCGCTAAAGTGACGTCACAATGAGACTACAGAGACGTAAATAAAAATGTAACGATATAGAGCAGCGAGAAACTCGAATATTGAGTATATTATTGGTGCTTTTAAACTTGTAAATGTAAATACATGTATAAGGAATGTTTTTAAGTTTAGTGTGAATTATTGGTGTGTATATATATGTATATATATGTATATATATAGCGCGCTTCATGAAAAATATGCCTACGTGCAAGTCTGTGTGATTTACACACCAATAACTCACACAAAACTTAAAAAACATTCCTTAACACACAAACAAACTGATGGATGGAAAATGGTATAGCATTATAAAGCCACATAAAAAAAAATTGGTGTTTAAAACCATATATATTACTTTATATAATGTGTTTGAATAATTTCACTTTTTTATCTCATCTAGAGGGTGTCAAGGTATACAGAGGTTCATCTTGTGTTTATTATCATTTAGAAGGTGTCCAAGTATACTGATGTTCATCTTGTTCATGTTAACAGCTGGAAGGTGTCCAGGTATACTGTGGTTCATCTTGTTCTTGTTCACAACTGGAAGGTATCCGGGTGTACTGTTGTTCATCTTGTTCCTGCTCACAGCTAGGAAGTTCCAGATGTAATGAGGTTCATCTTGTTCATGTTCACAGCTGGAAGGTGTTGTCCAGGTGTACTGAGATTCATCTTGTTCCTGTTCATAGCTGGAAGGTGTCCAGGTGTACTGAGGTTCATCTTGTTTATATTCACAGCTGGAAGGTGTCCAGGTGTATTGAGGTTCATCTTGTTCTTGTTCACAACTGGAAGGTGTTCAGGTGTACTGAGATTCACCTTGTTCCTATTTTCAGCTGGTGTACTGAGGTTCATCTTGTTATTATTCGTTTGTTCCTGGAAGGACTGTCCATCCATGTCTTACAGATTACATGTTATTCTCACCTGGAATGGTTGTTTCCATCCATGTCTTATAGATTGCATGTTTTTCTTACCTGTAATGGCTGTGTCCATCCATGTCTTATACATTATACATGTATATTATTCTTACCTGGAATGGTTGTGTCCATGTGTGTAGTGGAGTCAGGTTATCCCAGGAGTACATGGAGATGTACAGTGTACCTGAGACTTGAGCAGTTTGATGGGAGGGATGGAGGTGACCTTGAGGAATAAACAGGAACCCAGCCCTGTTATGACGTGTAGGTACAAACTGTATGTGGTGATTGTGGGCATGTCTCTGTGTATGGATTTTCATTTCGTCCATGCAGATGTAAACTTTGGCATCACCATTCTCCTCGTAAGGTGAGATAAGCATTGGGGAGAAGAAGTGCTGGGCGTAGTAATGCAGCATTTTCCATTTCCCTCCATATTCTGTAAGGATAGAGAAAAATAATTTCACAGAAGAAAGATGTTTACCTATTTTCCTTGCACTGTAAACATGTGAAGAATTATATTAAAAAAAAATCATACTACATAATTCTGTGTGCTGAACCTCTTTTTCTACAGGAAAGTAACAAAATCGCATATTTATTAAATTTTCAACTTCCATCTCTTCACTTATTTGGCTACTACAAGTAAGTTATTCAAGTGCTTGGGTTTAGAATATTGTATGAAATCATTGTTTTTCAAAGAAACTTTGATCAGAGATATTTCCCTAATGCATCCACAGATCTCGTTATTCTTCACAGTCCTGAAGACAAAAGCATCACGTCAGACTACTTTCCTGAAATATCGTGGTGTATTTTACACTTTAAATAAGTATTTATAAAAGGACATGGACATTTATACAAGAATTGTTTTTGATTAGGTATCTTTAAAACAAGAGGCCTAAGGGCCTTGACGGTCACCTGAGTATAAAACAACAATCCATAGAAGATCCATTGAGTATAAAATAAACTGATAGAAGGAGCTTTTGTAAATCTTTGATTGTCCATTGTGGCCCCACCCTATCCCCAGAGTTCAGAGTCATGATTTAAACAAATTTGAATCTATACTACCTGATGCTTCCATGTAAATATAACCAATCATGGCTTTGCTGTTCTTGAGAATAGAATTTTTTCAAGATTTTTCCTACATATTCCAATGTAAAACTTTCATTGTCCATTGTGGCCCACCCTACCAGTTTTAACAAACTTGAATCTACACTACCTGAAGATGTTTCCACATTTCATCTTTCTTGGCCCAGTGGTTCTGGAGAAGAAGATTTTTCCAATGTATTCCCATGTAAAACATTGATCATCCATTGTGGTCATGCCCTACCCCTGGGGGTCATGATTTGAACAAACTTGAATCTACACTACCTGAGGATGTGTCCAGATAAGTTTCATTTTTCTTGGCCCCGTGGTTCTGGAGAAGAAAATTTAAAAAAAAAAATTTCTATGTATTTCTATGTAAAATCATCAAAATGACTAATCATTGCTTTGCAGTTCTTGAGAAGAAATTTTCCTATCTATTCCTATGTAAGACTTTGATCCTCCATTGTGGCCCCGTCCTACCCTTGGGGGGTCAGGATTTGAACAAACTTGAATCTATGTATACACTACCTGAGGATGCTTACAAATAAATATGACCAATAATGGCTTTGTTGTTCCTGAGAAAAAGATTTTAAAAGATTTTTCCTATATATTTCTATGTAAAACTTTGATCGTCCATTGTGGCCCCATTGCACCCTACCCCCAGATTTGAACAAACTTGAATCTACACTACCTGGGATGCTTCCATATAAATATGACTCATCATGACTTTGCTGTTCTTGAGAAAAAGATTTTTAAAGATTTTTCTTATATATTTCTATGTAAACTTTGATCATCCATTGTGGCCCCGCCCTACCCCCGGGGGTCATGATTTGAACAAATTTGAATCTACACTATCTGAGGGTGCTGCCATATAAATATGACCAATCAGGGCTTAGCTGTTCTTGAGAAGAAGATTTTTAAATATTTTTCCTATATACCTCTATGTAAAACTTTGATCGTCCATTGTGGCCCCACCCTACCCCTGGGGGTCATGATTTTAACAAACTTGAGTCTACACTACCTGATGATGTTTCCATATGAGTTTCATCTTACCTGGTCCAGTGGTTCTTGAGAAGAAGATTTTTAAAAGATACCATGAATTTTTCACAAATTCTTAATTATCTCCCCTTGAAAGAAGTTGTGGCCCTTCATTTGAATAAACTTGAATCATCTTTACCCAAGGATAGTTTGTGGCAAGTTTGGTGGAAATTGGCCCAGTGGTTCTTGAGAAGAAGTTGAAAATGTGAAAAGTTTACGCATGACGCACACCCTCACACCGACGGACGAAAACAGATAGCAATAGGTCACCTGAGTGACTCAGGTGACCTAAAAATATATTTGCTTGCCCTCTCTTGACTAAGGGTGAAAATTTTGGGTAGGTATAAGTACATGTAAGTAGGGAAAAAATTATTTTTTTCCGAAATTTTTTAAGATCGATGCTTAATTTTCAAAATGTATTGAAATTGAAGACTTCCTGGTTACTGTAAACCAACTATTATTCACGTCAACTTTTATTCGCGATTCATCAGTTTGAAATCAATCCGCGATGATTAATTTTCGCGACTGAGGAAACATTCTCTACAAATACAAAACAAAGTAAATGGTTTGCGACAATTAATATTCGCAAGTTAAGTAGGTCGCGAAACTAGCGAATATTTCTCACTTGCAAATAAAAGTTGGTTTACAGTATTACAAGCAACACCAGTACCTATGGAGGCCCATGTTGGGGCCTGCCAGATATCATTTAGCTGCCAGTACATGGCCCCCATTGTGTTGCCCCTTCCCATGTTGTCTAGTCTGTTTTGCCAGCGGCGGTAATGTTCTGTCTCTGTTTTAATGGCAACAGCCTGATCAATCTACAAGAAATATATCAAAGTAATTCTAAGTAAAATTATTTCACTAAGGAAACCAATGAGATAAAAAAAGATTAATTTTACTCCAAATGAAGTGTTCTTTATTAAATATATGGTAAAGTTGTATAGGGATGTTCTCTGGATTTGTCATACAGTATTTCCTTTCTAAATTTCATCTTTAAATTCATATGTAAGAGTTATATCCCTTTATAATGTAACTCCAGTGAACTTAATATTAATCCTTGTCATCTCTGTCTTTAGAGGTAGAGATTTCTTTTATCAAATAGAATTTTTCATATGGAATATCTTAAAAACATTTAAATTATTTCACTTTGCTGACAGCTGAATAATGTTGCCTCTGGGTCAACAGATATATAAATTCAATAAAGGTGAAATCATAAATATAAAAACTGACTAGAACTGAAGGTTGATAAGATTTTATCCAGAATATAACATGTAATTAACCCTGAACTAGTTACCTGGGTGACATAAATGGTGTCCTTGAACTTTTGTTTCTTATCTGGGGCGTTAGGGAGGTTCAGGTATAGGATGACCTCTGTCATAAGCTGTACGTTACCTGACAACAAAGGAAGGGTACTAGTTCAAAGTGTCAAGAACCAGTTCACACATAGCCTTCATGTTTCTGTGAACTTTATTAGAACTGTTGAATTTTAGGTATTTTAGGAGACTGGTACATATTCAAAGTTCATTGCCCTTGCTCACAGTCATAGCAATATTCAATGAATCAGATAGTGAAAGATCAATTTGAGAAATTAAGATGCTAAAATGTAAAAAGCTGATATGAAAAATATTTAGCATACCAATTCTTTCAAAGGAAAGTTTAAAACTGCCCAAATGGTTATACATGAATATATCTGCCATTATTTACAATAGATTTTCTCACCGAGTGGATGATGTTGCCGATGTTCACTCATGTCTGACCAGAAATCTAGGTCATCCTCAGCGTAAACTTTTGCCAATGTCTCGTAAGATGGGAGGGACTGAAGTCCGTACTCTGAGGCCAATCTCGGGACTCTATATACACTGGAGTCAAAGAACGGGTCTAGGTAACGGTAATCATGGACTGAAAAATAAAAAGAAGGGTTCATTTACAATAACTTATAAGATAGAAATCTTTAAAATGATACACCATTAAATTTTATTTAATTTTTTTAAATCATAAAAGATTATTTTTTTCTACACATTTTTTCCTTGCTTTTCATGATTTGACAACTTAAACTTTTACTAATTTTTTTTTTTTTTACAGATTTTAAAAGTATACTGAATATGCATGTAAAAAAAAAATTAATTTGGTTGTTACTGTTTTTTTTTTTTTGTTCACTTAATAATGTCAAATACAGGGAGACATGCATTTATTTTGAATTAAATATGTATCATAGACTACTGTAAATGTACATAAAATTAGTGCAGTCAAAATTAAGTGTAGTCTGCATCAGTGACCATAATTATCATAAACCTTAATGAGGTTGGATCCTGATATTTAAAGTCTTAAACTTTTTTTGTCAAGTATATTTTTAGTTTCTACACACATAGCTTAATTAAAAATCAAAAACCAAAAATGGGGGTCTATATGCTTCTTTCGGTGCTACAGTACATTTAATATGACCTTCTTGCACTGAAATTTGTGTCTTATTCAAAAATCACATCTTCGACATTTTCCCTCCAATGTTTTTATCCAAATAAATCATGGAACAAAATAAACTATTAGTCTATTTTAAAAAAGACACTTTAAAATTGTAACTAAGAAGAAAGTTTCAAATTGCTTCGCATAATCAATTATTTGACCTTTCTGCACTCAAAAAATGTGATTTTTTTGGCATTAAAAATTTAACAAGCAAGAAAATTATTTTAAAGTCTTAAACTTTTGCTGAATTTAGGCAGATTGATCAAAGTTATCTTATATATTCAGAAAAGAAAAACAAAAGTGGGGGTCTATGATGTAAATCTTTAGATATTACTAAAAAGTGTTAATTTTATGTTAAAATTGGCTAATTTTTTTCTTGGACTTTCAGAATATATTTACTATATTTGTCACAATATAATGAAAGAATTCAAAAGAAATAATTTAATAGATATTTCAGAACCAGCATAAAACATTTCACTGCAAAAAAAAAAAACAGCTCTGTCTGTGTGCAACCAGCATGGAAAAATAGGAATCTAAACTAAGCAGTACTGTATATATTTCAAAGGGAAAAATTTATCATTTTCTCCTTAAAAGCCTTCCACCACAAAATAAAGTCCCTGGCTTAATCCTATTTGAATGGAATTTAATCGCAGTTTTTTCATTGGATATAGTTTAATTTGCATTGTAGAATCCAGATTTAATGTTTGAACTTAAAAATGGTGCAGAATTTTATAAATAAAGTTCCAGGCCAAAATCTGCTCAAAAGCTCAGGATCGAACCTCCTTAATTAGCAAATTTGGATCTAAGTGGATAAAGTTTAACATTTTTAAACTAAATATTGCTGCATTTTTTAAGTATCTCATAACATACTGTCTCCATAGAGCTCACTCCACGGTTGCTTAGCGACGAATCCCTCCTGTAGACTCTGGATCCCGTTACTGGGGCTGGACATGATAAAGGGATGAGTAGTGTCCTCTGTCTGGACGATGGGCTGTATTGTGTCATGATACAGAGTCACATAGTCATTATAATACAGAGTAAAGTTTACATCTGTATTGTACCTACAAGAACCCAAAGTTTACATCTGTATTATAACTCCTAAAACCCAAAGTAAGTTTACATCTGTATTATATCTATAAAAGACCGAAGTTTACATCTATATTATACCTACAAAAGCACAAAGTGTACATCTGTTTTATAACTACAAAAACCTAAAGTTTACATCTGTATTATAACTACAAAAACCCAAAGTTTACATCTGTATTATAACTACAAAAGACCGAAGTTTACATCTGTATTATAACTACAAAAGACCGAAGTTTACATCTGTATTATAACTACAAAAGACCGAAGTTTACATCTGTATTATAACTACAAAAGACCGAAGTTTACATCTGTATTATAACTACAAAAACCCAAAGTTTACATCTGTATTATAACTACAAAAGACCGAAGTTTACATCTGTATTATAACTACAAAAGACCGAAGTTTACATCTGTATTATAACTACAAAAGACCGAAGTTTACATCTGTTTTATACCTACAAAAACCTAAAGTTTACATCTGTATTATAAATACAAAAACCCAAAGTTTACATCTGTATTATAAATACAAAAACCTAAAGTTTACATCTGTATTATAAATACAAAAACCCAAAGTTTACATCTGTATTATAAATACAAAAACCCAAAGTTTACATCTGTATTATAAATACAAAAACCCAAAGTTTACATCTGTATTATAAATACAAAAACCTAAAGTTTACATCTGTATTATAACTACAAAAACCCAAAGTTTACATCTGTATTATACCTACAAAAGACCGAAGTTTACATCTGTTTTATACCTACAAAACCTAAAGTTTACATCTGTATTATAACTACAAAAACCTAAAGTTTACATCTGTATTATAACTACAAAAACCCAAAGTTTACATCTGTATTATAACTACAAAAGACCGAAGTTTACATCTGTTTTATACCTACAAAACCTAAAGTTTACATCTGTATTATACCTACAAAAGCCCAAAGTGTACATCTGTTTTATACCTACAAAACCTAAAGTTTACATCTGTATTATAACTACAAATGCCCAAAGTTAACATCTGTATTATACCTACAAAAAACCAAAGTTTACATCTGTATTAAACCTAAGAAAGCCCAAAGTTTACATCTGTATTAAACCTAAGAAAGCCCAAAGTTTACATCTGTATTATATCTATAAAAGCCCAAAGTTTACATCTGTATTAAACCTAAGAAAGCCCAAAGTTTACATCTGTATTAAACCTAAGAAAGCCCAAAGTTTACATCTGTATTAAACCTAAAAAAGCCCAAAGTTTACATCTGTATTATACCTATAAAACCCAAAGTTTACATCTGTATTAAACCTAAGAAAGCCCAAAGTTTACATCTGTATGATACCTAAAAAAGCCCAAAGTTTACATCTGTATTAAACCTAAAAAAGCCCAAAGTTTACATCTGTATTATACCTATAAAAACCCAAAGTTTACATCTGTATTAAACCTAAAAAAGCCTAAAGTTTACACCTGTACATGTATTATATACAAAATAACACCCAAAGTTTACATCTGTTTTTATATCTACAAAATAAAAATCCAAACTATATAGCCATCCTATATTCTATAAATTATAGCTGAGTTTTATTGTACTACATGTACATGTAGCCACATTAGCTTTTTCATTTGTTTGTTTTAGTAAAACAACTTTGGGAATTTCCAATCCAATTTTTATTTTTTTGAAGAAGCAAAAAGAAATTTAAAAGACAAGGAAATTATTTTTAGCAATGGACATGTCACAACCACTTTCAAAAGCAGAAGGGGCACTAGACACTCTCCTCACTTAGAGGCCTGCAATGTGGAAGTAAAGTAAAATGAGATTACCAGCTTTGTCTTAGAGCTTTCTCGTTCTCATTATTTCCGCTCCATACCAGAAGTGAAGCATGGGACTTAAGTCTCCTAACCTGAAAATAGAATAAGAATATGGGATGTTCAGAATATAACAACAGTACAATACACATCAAATTGATTTTTAAGGAATACCAGGTAATTATCCTTTAATTTTCTTTTTCATAAAGCCCTTGGGCTAACCACCATACATCCCTCCTTCCTTTTGATAACTGTACATACTGTTATGTGATCACACTCACTTAAATATGGGATGCTAATAAAGCAAGTTAATATCATTTGTTGTAAAAGTGATTTCCATTATAGATTCTTCAATAATAGCACTCTCTACCATTGGCTCATACATGCACCTCTGTCTTTGGCTCACGTGTATTACAGTGATAAGCAATAGCAATAGTGTGTTTGTTTTAATTCTTAAGAATTAAATGCCTGCACTAATGTTAGTCCTTAAAGGTAGATATTTACTAAATAGATCTAAAATTATTAGTTTAATTCAAAATAACCATAGGAATATAATGATTTTTACTTCATGTCAAAAATCCTGACGTGAGCCCATTGCAGAGGTGTCTGAGAGAGGAATGAACAACAACTCTGCAATGGAGATTGCAATAATAGATGCTGCAAAATTGTCTTGTTCACTTATTATTATCTGCCTTTGAAGTGTTATTACTGTAAATGCAGAAATATTCATTGAGGATTTAATTTCAATTCTTTCGTTGTTAACTATTAGCAACAAAATTAAATCCCACTTGAATTTTTTATATGACCATATATTGAATAGGGTTACTTTCGTGACAACGAAATTTAATGCTCACGAAACCTTTTTAGATGACAAATTAACAAAATATTATCCCTATGAAAATTTGTGCTTCTACAGTATCTCCCTTTGTTGTGGTATTATCTCCCTTTGCTGTGGTATTATCTCCTTTTATTGTATTATTATCTCCCTTTGTTTTGTTATTTTCTCCCTTTGTTGTGTTATTGTCTCCCTTTGCTTTTTATTGTCTCTCTTTGTTTTGTTATTGTCTCCCTTCGTTGTGTTATTATCTCCCTTTCTTTTGCTGTTAATGTCTCCCTTTACCTGTTGTGTGATTTCCTCCCTGACTGTGGACAGAAACTGTGGATCTGTTGGATACATGGCACAACCAAACATAAAATCCTGCCAAATCAGGATTCCCAGCTCATCTGCTAGATCATAAAACTCATCTGACTCATAAACCTGTAAAATACATCTACCAGATCATAAAAGTCATCTGACTCATAAACCTGTAAAAAAATCCAATAAAAGTGAGAGCCACTTCTTACCCAAATAAACTAAAACATATGAAACAATAGGCCCATGGGCCACAACGCTCACCTGAGTAACTTTGCCCTTGCTGTTTTTCACTTGATTTCCCACCCCCCTTTTGTAGTACTATTGTGGCCCCGCCCTACCCCCAGGGGTCATGATTTGAACAATTTAGAATCTGCACTACCCAAGAATGCTTCCACATAAGTTTCAGTCTTTCTGGCCCTGTGGTTCTTGAGAAGATTTTTAAAGATTTTTACTACATATCTCAATGTAAAACTTGAATTCCCTATTGTGGCCTTGCCCTACCCCCAGGGGTCATGATTTGAACAATTTAGAATCTGCACTACCCCAGAATGCTTCCACATAAGTTTCAGCCTTTCTGTCCCATTGGTTCTTGAGAAGAAGATTTTTAAAGATTTTTACTACATATTTCAATGTAAAACTTAGATTCCCTATTGTGGCCCTGCCCTACCCCCCGGGGTCATGATTTGAGCAATTTAGAATCTACACTACCCAAGGATGCTTCCACATAAGTTTAAGCTTTTCTGGCCCAATGGTTCTGGAGAAGAAGATTTTTTAATGACCCCACCCAATATTTGTGTTTTCTTGATTATCTCCCCTTTGAAGGGGACTTGGCCCTTCATTTTAACAATTTAAACTCCCCTTCACCCAAGGATGCTTTGTACCAAGTTTGGTTAAAATTGGCCAAGTGGTTCTTGAGAAGAAGTTGAAAATGTGAAAAGTTTACAGACGGACGGACAGACGGACGGACGACGGACAACAGGTGATCAGAAAAGCTCACTTGAGCTTTCAGCTCAGGTGAGCTAAAAATACAGTTAAGACACTCCCTTACTACAGCTAGCATCCGTGTGAAGATTTTAGACATCAAATACTCAGTTTTGTAGCAGGTAGACTGATGGACAACAGACAACTTACTTAACCTTTCTATGCCCCATGGGATGCATGAGGCCATAGCAAGCACCTTATCATTGCATATGATGTGTGGTCTCCAGCAATTAGATATAAATGTATTGGTGGTGACTCAATCTCAGTCGTCAATATGTTTATCATGCTTTCCCAGAATTAATTAGTGGTAACTCTCAGTTGAATTTAACATTGCTTTTCCCAACTTGTTAGTGATCATGCTCATATGAATGTTTACATGCCCCTTATGAAGAAGTTAAAGCAAAGTTACCCCTCCTCCCCAGACTCTCATTGACTTTATGTGAGTTCATGTAGACGTCCCTCACTTACTAAAGTAGATTTACCCCTCCCTCACTGACTAAAGCAGACTTACCCCTCCCTCACTGAAGCAGACTTACCCCTCCCTCACTGACTAAAGCAAATTTACCCCTTCCTCACTGTCTGAAGCAGACTTACCCCTCCCTCACTGACTAAAGCAGACTTACCCATCCCTCTCTGACTGAAGCAGACTTACCCCTCCCTCACTGACTGAAGAAGACTTACCCCTCCCTCACTGAAGCAGACTTACCCCTCCCTCACTAACTGAAGCAAACTTACTCCTCCTTCACTGACAGAAGCAAATTTACCCCTCCCTCACTAACTGAAGCAGACTTACCCTTCCCTCACTGACTGAAGCAGACTTACCCCTACCTCTGATTGAAGCAGACTAACCCCTCCCTCACTGACTGAAGCAGACTTACCCCTCCCTCACTGACTAAAGAAGTCTTACCCTTCCCTCACTGAAGCAGACTTACCCATCCCTCACTGACTGAAGCAGACTTACCCATCCCTCACTGACTGAAGCATACTTACCCCTCCCTCTCTGACTGAAGCAGACTTACCCCCCTCACTGACTGAAGAAGTCTTACCCCTCCCTCACTGAAGCAGACTTACCCCTCCCTCACTGACTAAAGCAGACTTACCCATCCCTCTCTGACTGAAGCAGACATACCCCTCCCTCACTGACTGAAGAAGACTTACCCCTCCCTCACTGAAGCAGACTTACCCCTCCCTCACTGACTGAAGCAGACTTACTCCTCCTTCACTGACAGAAGCAGACTTACCCCTCCTCCCCAGACTCTCATTGAGTTCATGTGGACATCCCTTGCTGACTGTAGCAGGTTCTGAAGTCTGTCCTTTGTAATTCTCTCCTGGAAACTGTCAGCAGGAATCCAGTTACTTCCCTTGAGGAAGACTGGTACACCATTAATTTTGAAATAAAAGGATCTACCTAAAACAGATGAAAAATCAGTACTCAGATAATAGTAAGCAAGGATGCCTCATCTTCCAGAAATTTATGTACATTTATTTTTTTAAATTCAGCACATAAATGGTAAAAAATCCATCAAAACATTTGGCTCTGGCCTTTTCACAACATTAAACTAATATTGTTTTCTTGAAATTGTATTCTTTCAATATGAAAAATGACTTTCCAACACTTAGATATTTTTAATTAAGTTTTAAGTGTCTTAATTTTGAGTGATATTTCATCTTAATCTTGTTTTTAAACCTTGATTTGGATCCCCAGACACAAAATCCTGTACTAGTTCCACAGTTTTGAATCCAATGGTGATTTTTTTTGCTGACATGCTGCGACCGTCAGCACTGGTAAAGAAGGCGTAGAGTTTGTACAAATTCTGCTCTCCATAACCATTAGGCCACCACTCCCTGATTTCCAGGTTCTGGTTAGAAATAAATAACTCAAAATGCTATGCACAATAAGTTACAAAATACTATCATTCCAATAACAGCATGTCACTTTGATCTAGCATGCTAAAACGATAATCATCATATTTCTTATTACACTGAACCCCAACATCCAATCAATGAGTAATAAGGTGATCTTTTTTACAAATTTTTACCTTTCTTGATCTAGCCAACTGGCATGCTGTTATTGGAATGATAGTGTATTGATATGTATTGGAAAGTTATATTTTACATAACTTAGCTTTTATGATACAACAGGAGCATATTACTTACATGAATATTCATTTATACCCCGTATGATCAATAATGAATTACTTCTTCTTATTAAGAACTTCATTTTCAAGTCAATTTTGAGAAGTTATGTGAAAATGAAATTGCTACAAATACTTGTAAGATGTCATTTACAGTACCGGTAACTGTTATTCAGCCATGAAACCAGGACTTCAGCAAGTCATGGTTTCATCCAGATTTACTGCATTCAAAACAACTAAAACATGCTGAGAAAAAATAGTTTCTTTATCATGGTAGTTAAGAAAAGCCTGCAGAAAACAAATGATTAATCAAAAATGTACTGTATGGGTCCTAAATTCAGAGCATTAAAAATTTATGGCAGGGATTGTTTGGTGCAAACACAAATTATCAATTAATCTGTATACAGTTAAACTTTGATATCTCAAACTGTGATATCTCGAATACTACGGATATGTTGAAGTGATTTAGGACTTTAGAACAAAGTCCTAACCACTTATTCTCTAGGTATTTTACCTTTGATATCTCAAATTCCCAGACATCTCAAAATATTTCCTTGGTCCCATCAAATTTGAGATAATGATGTATGCCTGTATTTATTTACTTTATGTATATCTAATATAAAATCATATTTTGTCTGTATTCATAAATTAGCACACAACAAATTGCATTTATAGTGTCCAAATACAAATCCTGGAAAAATAAAAAGTTGTATATTATCTAGACTAATTTTTTTTTATCATAAATTAAATACATTTTTACACATGTGCACATATAATTTATTGTTATAATATATCATTATAAAATTGCCTACAAAAATATGTGCTATAATTCTCAGCTATGTGTTATATATAGACCTTACCTTGCTGATAGTTACTCTCTGCTTCAGTTTGTTGTTCTGCTGAGTGAGGGAGACATTCTGTTTGGTTCCTATACTTGTAATGTCCAGCTGAATCTCAATGGACCCCTCCACTGACTCGCTGTTTGGGATGTCCAGGTGAACTTCAGTATCAATGACCCAAGATCCATCAGCTTCTATATGTTGACAACAAAAGAGACAGCGAGAGTCAAAGACATTTTAAATGGTGAATATTTTAAATGAAAAAAAATTTGCAAGGCCAAGATAAACCCCAAAATAAAAAAAAATTAGAAACAAATCAACCAAGTTTAAGTTTGATGTAACTGTGGAATCATTAAAATTGATGGGGGCCAATTTTCGTGGATTGCCTAAATTTTACAGGTTCTAGGGGACAATATAATTTTGAGCATTCATTCATATCTACAAAAGAAGAGATTACTCTAAAACCCCAATTATCAATCTGTTGAGGATGTGAATTCATGGATGTAGGCTACCCACAAATTCCATGAATATTTGGCCACCATGAAATCAAATGATTCCACATTAAAATGCATTCTGTACAGAGTTTCAAAAAATAGCAAATGTAAAATTGACAGAATGAGATCACAAAGTTTATCAGAGTAGTATTTATCAACAAAGACTTTTATTCATTTCATTTTTATTGTGCTTTATGCACATGAATGGATGACTCTCCCCATATCACTAAGATCAGCTTCAGCCAAGCTATACAAAATGGGAAAGCAAAGCTTAAACTTGAGATATAAATGCAATTATTTTGATGCTAAGCAATGAATTGTGCAGTAAATTTTGAGATGTTTTTCACCAATACCTTTACGAGTCTCTGCAGTGAAATAACGAATGGTTGATGTGTTGAAAGACTCAATATAAATATCTCGCCTAAGAATCAATAACAAAAAGAAAATAAAACATAAAATTAATGAATTAAATTTTAAACAAATGTTGATAAAGACATTACTTTGTTACTAGACTGAATCTCACTAATTTATTCTGCTGATGTGAAATGTATCTAGGGGCAATGTCTAGGAAAGAGATTAAGTCTATACAGCCAACAGATAATGAAGACAGTGCATTTATCCATGCCTGTCAATGAGATGTGATCTGGCTCTTTGGATCAAGACTCTATGGTTATAATGACAAATTCATTATACACCACTCTATATTATATATATTAGCTGAATATAAGAGAAATTTTTGGGATTGATTATTTAACATTTACTTATTCAAAGAACAAATTTTCATGGAATTTTTTTTTCATGCGCAAGAAAAAAACATCATATGTATTGTATACTATGTCATCAGTTTCAGAGAGGGGTGATTGATTAAAAAGCCCACAGTGTGGAGATCTGATCTCACCATCACCTGATTGTGTGAAATCAACATTAAAATTGAGTGATACACAGATGGGTATACAATAAAAGTAAAATTCAAAAAATTTAGCGTATTATACCAAGGAAAACTTGAGATAAATCATTGTTGAAAACGAAGCTTTTAATCAATCATAAAGTTATCTCTCTTTGAAGAACTAAGCTGACTTACTTATTTTCTACATTGTGTTACATTTAAATACATGTACACTGTAGTTAAAATTAAAACCTTTTAGAATTTTTTGACCCTTAAATTTTACAGTGTCATTATATACCAAATTCCCTGTATAGAAAAAAATGGCCCTGCCTTCCAAATCCTCTGTATAAAGAAAGATGGCCCTGTCGATCAAATCCTTTGTATAGAGAAAGATAGCCTTGCCTACCAGATCTACTATACAAAGAAAGATGGCCATGCCTATCAAATCTTCTGTATACAAAAAGTGGGTCCTGCCTACCAAATTCCTTGGGTGGGGAATGAAGGTCCCCAGTCCCAGCTGAATGAGCACTGTTCTTTCCTGATCATATTAACGTGACATTCCCCCTTATACTGGGGGACAGGACAGGCCGGAGGGATGAGATAACTGTGGTTTGAGGCCAGGTTCTGGGCCCAATTCACAGCTGATGTAAATGACACTTGAATCAAGTTTTCCCCCTCCTGAAAGAAAAAAAAATTGATTGCAGACATTAGAGTTTTAAAGCTGGAAATTTCATTTCCTTTTTTTCGCTTTTGTTCCCCCTTATAATAGAAAATTCAACTTTATATGTAAAACTGTTTAGTGCCATTTTTAACCATACATATATATAAAATTTAACTTTGATTTATAATAGAGTAAAACTACCTACAATGATGTAAGGTTTGATGTCCATATCATATCTGAGGAACATGTTATCCGTCTCCCCCACAAGATGACCATTGATCATAACCATGGCAAAAGTGTCCAGTCCCTCACTAACCAACTTTACATTGATCATTGACATCATTTCTGATGTTACTGTAACAGAAAAATCTTCCTCTGGTTAAACGTGTTTCACAAACACAAAATGTTTCTGTCCTCATGTATGGAATTAAATATTATACATTTATGTGATATATCATGGAAGTACATGCTTTCACTTTTGACCCAATTTCTGCAAAATGCATCTGTTTGTCCATCAAATCTTGTACTCTATCTTTAAAAATCAGGTTAAAACAAACACTTTCAGATTTTTGCAAAATCAGTTTCCTGTTACCATGGTTACATGTATGTATGTATTACATAATTATCGCATTGTGGATGTAAATGAAATACCATTAACTACTCATTTTGATGCATTTTCTAAGGATTCTAATAGAAATCCTGTCTGATAGTTAAAAGTATTGCCAGTTTTACATGTCAAATTTTAACATTACATCTCATAATGCCCTACCATTAAACACCCTGCTGTATGTCCAGTCCTCTCGACCAATCCAGCGATACTTAAGGTCATTGTCACGGTAATATGGATCCTGGATTACGTTGTTATCTATCAGAGCAGTATACATACTGCCTGGGACCTTCCCAGTAATGTTGATATTCTCTGAATAAAGTTTACAGTATAAGGTACATTACAAATCAGAACAACATGTACTAGCAATAGAGTACCATATAACAGGTTACTGTAGACATATTTTTTTTCCTCATGAGATTAATTTACGCCATGTATGCAGCCACCAATTTTCCACAAATTTGTTATTTATAAAATATCTTCTTAAGCCACACAAGACATGCAAGAACAAAAAAAAATATCTAGTATAAATAATAATTTTCTATATTTTGTATAAATAACTATTTTTGACATCTTTTTGAAATTCAAAATAGACTACACAGGACATTTAGGATATTATCGGAACTGTAAAAGTTTAAGTAGCAACAGGTACAGCAAATCAATATCTGTTATCTCTGATAAATTATTCAAATTGTAAACAAAAACGGGACAGCAATCACAAGAAGTACTTATTTAAAAAAAAAAAATTCGCTCTGTAAATGCACTTGAACTGCAAATGCAATAAAAGCCATATTTACTTTGTTCATTTGACACTATCCAAGCTCCATTTAAACTTGTCGTAATTACACATGCACCTATTGAAATCAACCCTCCAAACCATGCAACACTAAGAGTCGACATCTCGATATCATGTGACTTTCAACAATAATTTCGAGCCCGATAATTATGTTTCATCAATCAAAGTACTGAAAGTGTTAATAGGAGTTCAGAAAGATGGACTGTACACAGTACAGAGAATTATTATCAGACATCCAAAAACAAATGGGATGGCGAAGCTGTTAAGAGTTGGTTAAAGAGTGAATTTCCATTGTACACAATGTGCACGTCTGTAACCCTATAATCCACACACACACACACACAAAATTAAATAAAGTAAAAAAAAGAAATAGACTGTTATTGAAATAAGGTATCATTTTAAAACTTTTATCGGCATGTAAATACGGGTTAGTCATGTGATCAAATCCCATAGTTACATTTGTGACTGATTTATTACAAATAGTTGGGTCCGATAGTTTTTTTAAAAAAAAATCATAATATTGATTTATTTTTTCAAACCTCAACGGTATAAATTGAATCGCAGGACTGTTAAGGCGTACTACGAATAAATCAACGGAATATACACATGCATAAATACATACCTTTTTAAACTGAATTTATTTTTGTAAAGCTACTATATTATCACATGACTTTAATTCTAATTGAAATAACATTGTATACCCTGCTCTGTACGGAATTTAGTTTGGTCACGTTATTTGACAGTCACGTGATTAATGCATGTAATGTGTACTGTATGTAGGTCATAAACAAATTTCAATATCGCAAGGGCATACCCTAGTTAGAGTTAAAAATTTCAGTAATAAATTGTCTCTACATAACTTGTAGTTTATGAAAAGTGCTGCTGCTTTAAATAGAATTTGCATTTTATTAGTTTAAATTTCAAGTTATTTGGCTCTAGTCGAAATATGTGTGACCTTTACCATGTATTTTATTTATTTATTTAGTAATGCTCTCGATTTCAGGAAAGCAGCAGCACTTTTCAAGTTAAGGAATGTTCCCGTTATGCATATTCAAAAAATGGTCAAGATCTATTAAGTGTATGCCCTTGCGAAAAGGCGATTTAATGAGGCACCTCGGAGTGCAATATGCACACCCTGTACATAAAAACACGGTAGAATTAATTCAATACATTCTTTCGATAGTTTTTAAATAATATCACTAAACAAAGGTTTCAGATTTGTAATAATGGTCTACCTAAGATTTGCAAATAATATTCTGTTTAATAATGAAATGCATTTTTCACTGTGCAAAAATTACTTGATCCGCCTATAACTGCACATAAAATGCGTCAAATTTTACCATGATGACGTCATGTCGACAAGGGCATTGCGATTAGTGACTTATTTATATCTTGTTGTGCGGGATTTAACTAGCGACAAAAATGAATGCAGTGGTAAGTTTTGATGTAGTTCATCACTCCTATGCAGCTTAAAACCGCAAATTATTTCATTTTCTGTTGTTTTGAGGAATTGCTATACTTGTGTGATGTCACAGTAGACATTTCCCGTATAGATTAGGCCCCGCCCCCTTAATGCAGCCTTAACAGAGCTGCGATGTGTTGAGCGCGGTCGATCACTTATGACGTCACTATGAAATTACGTAGATCGTTTATGACTAAACAATCAATTTATGGCCATATGACGAACCTGTTTTTACACAGGTGTAAAAACGACTTGTTCAAATAGTGTTATTTAAGGGAAATCATTTGCAAATGTAAATATTTCCTTATATTTTAAATCATTAGAAAAAGATTTTTAAAAAGTATCTGTAAATGTAAGAAAAAATCCCTTTTGATCGCTCGGAAAAGAGGGTTACCAACAGGAAAGAAGTCGATGATAGGGAACCCCCCCCCCAAAAAAAAAAAAACGTTATTTAAAAAATTACCCTGTTTTACCCCAGTGGAGTTCTCTATTAAAGATCATGACCGTAGTAGTAACTGTAAAGGTTGATGTTTCTGATACATCCAACAATTTAAGGCACCACGTCCCTAGAGTTGTCAGCCATATTTGACTTTAAGTTTCATTCAATCGTAGGTTTAATTCTGTCTTTTGATTTAAATGTATCATATAACTGGTGTACTCTGTTATATTTAGACTTGATGAGAGATCAGACATATGGCAGTTTAATGGTCAATAAGTGTTGATTGTTAACTTGGGGTTTTCCTGTAATTCTTCATAAGACAAGAAAAAAATGCTTTAAAAGGAATAATAGACATTCACCCCATTAAGAGTTAGCTCTCTTATTAGGGTATCAATGATTCTTAAAATAGGGGGAAATGATAGAATGAATGATTTACTTTTAATTATTATCTATTGTTTATTCAGATAAAATGTTCAAAGATAACGAACAGTAATCGTGTTCAATGGGCCAATTAAACAACACAAATTGTGAGCAGAGCAAACGGGGACGTCTGAAAATCAGAGGTGGGACCAGGTCCAGGAAAGAGAAAGCATTCAATGTCGATCGGTCACTTCCAAAGTGTGCCCCTTGTCATGCAGGATTGGGTAAACGTAGGAATCCGGAGACAGTGCAGTATGGAAATATCTGTATGAAAGACGTCATCAAAAATCGACATAACGACAGATTTAAAATACATGTTTTTTTTTTCCGGATAAACATTGTTAATGTTGAAGAGTCCATTTACCTGCACATCAATTAGATGGAATGAAACTATCATCCATTAATGAAATGGTATTTCTTCCAACACATGTAAATTCAAAGTTGATACGAATTACATTTAGAGTATTTGAATTGATATTTCTGGCTATGGATTGATTTTTCAAGTTTATATATACACCTGATCGAGGAAATAAACAATTTCAGATTGTAAGATGTATCATAAAGAATTGTCTGCCATGCTTTCCTCATAAGGTAGACCTTAGCTGGGTACCCACAAACCACTATCAAGGATGTCATATTAATATATAGTCTGATTTTATTTTATTTTTTTTTTCTCGTATGGATATATATAGATTGTTTCATGGTTGTTCCTACATCTAATGTTTACAATTTTGCGCGTGCTTTCAGGCTTCATAACAATTCTTCGTCTCAAGTTTTGTTCTTTTATATTTCATTAAAGTTAGACGTGTTTGATGTAAACACATCAAGTCAGATTTCCCCACATATAGAACTTAGTCGTCTCATTCCTTCCTTCTGAGATGTATTGATCTCTGTCAATGGCCTCAGTGAGTTAAAGGACTTATCGCATGTTTCTAAATTATTTGAAATTAAAAGCGTAAAACGTTCCTAATTACCACAGTTTATAAATTTTGTGTTTTTACTGCGGATAAACCTCTGTAATTAACCAATTATTGACTCAAATGAAAACCCCTGAATTAAAAATCTCTCTAAAAAGTTAATTAGATAGCGATCACGTGACCCTGTGACGTCAAAGGCGACAATGGCTGATCAGCTCTTCACGTAAATCTTACTAAAATATACGCGATGCAACCTGAATTTTCTGCGTTATGGACGACCAGATCACTGATTTTATCGATATGAAATTTAATATCCAACCTTATATTTTAGAATTGTCAGCAAGAAATAATCTGAAAAATCCGTTAACATTGTAAAAATAGCAGCGACGATAGCGAGGGAGACACGGCGAAGACGAAGAAACTCGCCATTACAATACAATTTGATTTGTCATATTATCACATGTATTAACTTATTTGATTCACAAATTTAATATTACAAAACTCTATTATTCTTCGTTTTTAACATAATATTAATTTATGCAAGTATGCTTTCATATGTTTTTTAAGGGATGGCGGTCTTGAAAAATAATTTTCCGATCACGAAACATTGCCGTAATCAGACCTACAGATTCTAAATGTTTGGAATAAAAAACGAAAATATCTCAAAATCCTTGTACCTTAGAACTAGTTAATGTTTCTATAGTAATTGAAAATCACGTTAGGAATTAATTTTTTCAGCATTTTTTATAATTAGGCTGCATTTGTCGTTGACAACTTCGTAAATAGTGAGCAACTTCTCATCTCTCTATCACTGAATTGTCGCCTATGACGTCAGAGCAGTATTTCGCCGAAATCCGACTGAAATATGCATATTGTCGTATTTGAATTTCAACTCTCAATATCTCTTAAAATATGCTTTCAAAAACGTTTATTGTATCCAGAATTTTAATAAACAAAGTTGTAGATAATATTTTTCATAAAATTAAGATTTTTGAAAAATCATGCGATAAGTCCTTTAAGGTCATCCACCATTTTACTTGCAATCCCACGGTTACTGAAATGTTTCCTCTAATTCATTGTGAGAATGTTGTTGAAAAGTTGAAATATAAGAATGTTGTTGAAAATTTTGTCTGGCATAGATGTTAATTCATATATTACATGTACACCAAAATATTTCCCCAAACCACGAGCTGTCTATTATATCTTTTGAGGGTTGAGATGTCGTTGGCGTTGCTCAAGACATAATTGCACTTTATTTTCATGCAGACTCGTCAAAATTCTTTACTTCACTGTTTTTGGTGTAGTTTAATGAATATCTGGTAGTAAGAGAATATATATCTGATAGTAGGAGAATGAATACCCGGTTGTAGGAGAACGAATTTCCGGTAATAGGAGAATAATTAACCGGTAGTAGAAGAATATATATCCTGTAGTAGGAGAATGAATATCTGGAAGTAGAAGAATGAATATCCGGTAGAAGGAGAATGAATATCCGTAGTAGGAGAATGAATATCCGGTAGTAGAAAAATATATATCTGGAAGTAGGAGAATAGATATCCGGTAGTAGGAGAATGAATATCCGGTAGTAGGAGAATGGATATCCGGTAGTAGGAGAATGAATATCCAGTAGTAGGAGAATATATATCCTGTAGTAGGAGAATGAATATCTGGAAGTAGAATAATGAATATCCGGTAGTAGGAGAATGGATATCCGGTAGTAGGAGAATAGATTTCCGGTAGTAGGAGAATGGATATTCGGTAATAGGAGAATAGATATCCGGTAATAGGAGAATAGATATCCGGTAGTAAGAGAATGAATATCCAGTAGTAGGAGAATGGATATCCGGTAGTAGGAGAATGAATA